CCTATGCTTTTATTGTTACGTCCCATACTCACTGCCTTTGAGCCTTGTATAAAATAGTTTTCACTTAATATAAGTGTTTCACATGTTGTTTAAAAACAATACCTTTTAGAAGAATGAGCTTGCATCATCCCATGCTTCCCCCATTGTGCATCACAAATTCGAAAGGGGGGAGGGCTATAAACTCCTCCCTGTGACAAATAAGCTGTGACAAACACTTTTCTTTCTCAAATGTTCAATGCAACTGATGTGTTCAGATACTCTCAGGAGGTCACGTATCACTCATGCCTGAGAGGCCAAGTATGACTCACACCCGAGCGCTTTCACCTGGAGATAAGAAGGCGCAGCCCAGATGGCAGATACTGATGTCTGCTGAGTAATGTATGTAGATTTCAAGAGAAGAAAATATGTCGAGAATGAGCTACATCAACGCAAGTGTTCCACACACAGCAGGCAGGGTGCTTTAACATTCAGCCTGAACAGGAAATTATGACAGCTACTTCTAATAAAGGCATCGCCAGAAATGCCATACATTTTTTTTAAATGCTGTACCATCATACACAATTTCTATTGGCAATTGCCACTCCGAGAGGTTGTCTCGGATTACGCTGTGTAACACTGTGCCATGCCTTACGAATATAAGGCAGTTTCAAAAGATAATCTTTTCAAATGTGTGAAGCGTGATGCTCTTACGATATCAGTCTGAATTCTCACTCTAACAGGATGTGAATAAAAGCAAAGAACTGCGAGATCAGAAGTGAGCCAATCTCTCGTATCACTGCTTATTGGAAACTTTGCAAAAGTTGCTTAGGTTTATATACAGTGTACCTCAAGAATACCAAGAAATAATGTACTGCTGAAATCACCTTTAGTGGCTACAAATCACAAGCCAAAATGAACTATCTAGTAATGGTGCTAAAGAATGTTTTCGCTCGCAACTGACTCTTTCTTCATGTTTTTTTTCATTCACACACTTGGTGTAGCCTATTGACTTAGTTCAAAGTTTCAACACTCAAACCGTTAGTAAAATTCAAACTCTGGCATTTATAAGCGAGCTTTATTACTAGAAATGAATGTTTAGGCACCAACGGTATGCCAAACACATATCTGCATACTTTACAATATATAAAGAATGTGATTTGAGTGTGAATGCCTGATTATGACTGTCAGGTAATATGCCCAAATATACCTGACATCAGACTAGTTTTGAAACTTGAAGAGAGTGAAATTATAACAATTTGTAGAGCAAGTGCTAAGAAAACAATTTTGTCGTGTCATTACGAGCAGTGGATTACGAGCAGGATAAACGACTAATATAGGCTGTATATACTCATGTTGATATTTTCACTTAGCCAAGTGATCCGCTCACAGTCCAAATAGTTAACCTTATATTCAGATTTACTAATTCACACTAAATAATTTGGCAACTTGGCTGGCTGGCCTCTTGAGCACAGGCAATGAAATCCATAAATATGTGCTCTCATTTTTGGTGTCTACCGTTTTTAAGATTAAGCGTTACTTGCCAAGCTCCAGCGATATAAACTCAAAGCACTGAAGTGTTCGCTTGGCAACATTATTTTGCCAAGTTGGCTATAAGATTAATAAGTTACAGAAGTATGACCTCTTCGCCTTTCAGTAAATCTGTCTGGCACAATTATAACAGAGGAGTCTGACAAGTTAAACAGCAATACAGTAGTATTCTTGCTTTCCTTCAGGTTATCACGGGATGAAGTAATTCATTTTTTTTGTCTACAGCGTGGCGCCTTAAAAGAGGACACATTCAATAAGCAATCCGCATCTTTTTACAATGAGGAGCTTATACATCTTTATAATCCTTAACATGTAATCAAATATGTAGCTCTTGTCTTTGATTATGCAAGGTCTCTGAACATGTAATCCTATGTACAGGAATCAGTGCATGGGCACTTGCAAGGAATTCCCATTTATAAATATTTCTTTTGAAAATAACTTTCCGTCGATAGGCGCTAGCCTTGCATGTTGCCTCTTCATTGTGTTCTTAAAATTCCACATTGTTCTTGACTGCCCACGAACTCGCCAAAATGTTCAACCTTACGAAGCAGACAGGGGTAAAAAGACCTTGTAGCCACTTCGTAACACATTGTAGACCTTGTCGCCACCGTTACTGGGTAGTTGAGCTGTGCGCTGTCTCAGTGCAATTATGGGCAGCAGTTAGGTCCGTCAGTGTACCAGGGGCGGATCCGGCCACTCATTTCAGGGGAGGGGGGGGGGGGGGCGGTTGCCTAAAGTAACATCAAGAGGGGGGCGTGGTCATGACTTCTTGTTTTCGCTAGCAGAAAAACCCCTCCGCAGCATAAATACTGTTAAGTGTACTCACACTGGTTTCACTCATTTGTCCTAATTGGTGATAGTAGGGAGACTGTGAGCACTGACAGGTGGGAAGGAGGGCTGACAGAAAGTTCGGAAGGGGCGCTTGCCCCAACCACCCCCACTCTGGATCCGCCACTGCAGTGTAGCCGTCTCAGCAATAGAACATTTAAGCTAATACCTTCAGATGCACAAGCACCCTCTCATCACAAAATATTTATGCACTGTCGGTCCTTTGGCACTACGGAATAATAAGTCATAAGCGCAGTTATTGCACACCTTTCGGCCATTTGCAATGAACAAAAAAAAAAAAACAATACTCGCATTGAGCGGCTGGCACTGAGAGGCAAAAGTTGGTTGGCACAAACTTTGCGAGTACTCTGCAAGTTTACTTTGCCTGCCTTTTGCACTGGGCTCTTTTGGTACTATAATTTAAAGTCTGAAGCTTAAAGTGACAAAACGATGATACGATTGTGTGGCACACAATAAGGCCAAGTATGATATTCAATTCACGGGGACCTAAACCTGAGAGCACGGGTGCTCTTGCATTTCGCCTGAAACCAAATGCAAAGCAGACATTAAAAAATGCAGCATGTAATAACGTAACATAAAAATTCTACGTAATACGCACCACACAGCTGCCGGCACTTCGATTACAAAACCTCTGCGCTTACAACCGACAGCTGCAGTGTGAAAACTTCATGATCAGTACTCATTCGCATGCAGAATCGCAATGAGGCTGATGCCAGTTGGTGCAACTACGACGCTAAAGACACGCGTGACGAACACACGAGACACTGGAAACGCATTAACCATAGCGACATTTATTGCTTGGTCACAGCACGAAGACTAGTTTGGCATGCGAGGACTAAGAAATTGCATGCTTCAATAACAGGCAGTAACCGGGAACAATTCAGCCGAGAAGAACCGCACTACGGGCAAACATGACGCCTTAGAGGTGGACAGCCGCAGATAAACAACGCTCGGCGATCCAGCGGTGCATGCAAATTCGTGCGAAGGAGTGCTGACGTGCCGTCGTGGTTTTTCCACGCCGAAGAGAACAAACAATCGTTGAGTGCATCAGAGGCGACCAGTTTTTCGAAGAAAACGGTCGCAACATCTTGCGTGAGTAAAGGCGCAACTGCTGCTTCCTTCGCTGTAACACGGTGGGCGGTGCGGCTTATCTTACAGACCGTTCTGCTTTCTCGCGTAGATTCCCAGGCAGGCACAGGTGCCGAAGATGGTGATCACGATGCCCAAAATGAGCGCGAGCGCGTCTCCGGTGTCCAGTCCCGATGCCTGGGCGGTGGACACGCTGCTACACAGCGACGAAGAAGGCGACGAGGAAGGCACGGAGAGCGTATCCGACAGCCATGTTTACGTGCTGCTTATGCGCAAATGCGTCAAGAGGCGCAAAAAAACAACAACAACAAAAAAACAACACCGAAGCCGTAGCCTCTTAGATTTCTCTTGCCTGCCGGATTATTGGCGGGCACTTGAAAAGCAGCCGTCATCAAAACTTTGATCATGACGCTACTTAAGTAGGAGTGTTTTCAAATCGATTTTTACGTTTTTGCAACTATATGCAACAAAATAACGTAAAAAGTTTTAAAAAGGCGTAAGCGTAAATAAAATTAACTCTACGTAAGTGCCGCCGTTAGAACAAGACAAGCGTTTTGCGCTCAATCAACTAACAACCCCTTCAATACAGGCAAAGCCTCTGAAACTAGCAAACGCTAAAATTGCTCATCTCAAAGGCCAAATACAGAAACCCTTACTTCTACGTAGGTAGCGCCGCCACAGATGACGGGTGTTTCGCGTTCATTCGTCAGGCAAGGGAAACCTAGAAGGCTATGCCGAAGCGAAAGCTCCAGCCACGTGGAGAGATGAAGTTAGCGCATGCTAGAAGTTGCACCATGCTAGTGTGGCTAAAAAATTTCATGGCCTCCAAGATAAAATTCCCGCACTGGCTGCTGTTGAGCAGTCTTAAAGGCTTACTTAGTCACGCATAAAATTTAGTTGATGGTTTGATGATATTTGCATGACTTAACAATGCTTGTCCCCGTCTACCGTGCAATTCGACTGTCTCACTTGACATATTTGCACCTTTATGAAATCATGATGAACAAAAGTAAGATTAGCTAGGCAGTGTGGCAAAGCATGAATTGAAATATGATAAGAATGAAGATAATATAACTATTTACGCATGTTCATTGAAATTTTGAAGTGCAGGATGAATCGCAATCTCTGATAACTTTTATGCTCACTGCACCAACTCAGCTCCCACACTGCCACCATTCAATGTCAGCGAATTCAAGTGTGTGCGGCTGCATCCGACGAAGCTTCTTCTACCGTTTATTATCCCCGGTGAACCTAAGCAAGCCCACAACATTTTCTAAAAAAAAAAAAAAAAAACATGAGGGCAACATGTACGAAGTGGTATGGACTGACAGAGAGCGGGCATAATTTGCTTCTCATGAACAAAATACTTCCCAAGTATTTTAAAAGCTATAAAGTTTCGCAGCAAACAAGCTATGATTTTAGCTAGAGTACTCTAGGTCACTCTAATGCTCTAATTTTAGCAATAAAGTGAATCTAACGCGTCTTGACTTATAACGGCCCTCTTCAGTATGGAGTAATGAGCTGAGCTAGAGGGGTGGAGTTTCCTCTTTTGCCAAGCTTGCATTTCGTTTGGTTTCGTGTAACAGCAGTAGTTGGTGGTTGCCGTCGCAGGGAACTAGTGTGCCGTGCGCTGTTTCGCTGAGCTCTCGCCGTTGTCCCCTTGTCGAACCAAAAGGCCTACCGCTTCGACTGTATTGCTGCACTGCGGCCGTGTTTCGTGACAAGCATCTCCAAGTGCGCCGCCTGCGCTCAGGCGAGAACCAACGGTGTTTCTAGTCCTCGACCATGGCTGACGTGAAAATCAGTATGGACGACAGAGCAGGGCAGTCGTCGATTCTGGACGATTTTTGCTATAATAACAACGTCTCGAAAGCAAACGTCTACGTTCGACTCGGTAAGTGCTGTTTCACGCGCAAAAAGCGGGTTCTGTTGTATGCTGTCGCGCGTTCCGGCCCGTGTGTTTCTAGAAAGACTGGCACGAGCTTTCGTGAACATCCTTTGGTTTTCGAATTATTCTGAAACTGAGGCTGCGCTTTCTTTGGTTTCTGAATGCTGTCGCAGGTTTCCTGCGAAAGGTCTACGGCATCCTCAGCATTCAACTGTTCGCTACGACGATGATAGCAGCCTTTGGAATGTTTACTCCAGCAGTCAAGCTCTACATAAGCCAGAAGTAGGTGCACTTGTTTCCTTTGCCCGTCGAAATTGCATTGCTCGCCCACTGCGAAACCATGCACTCTACGAATGTACTGGCGTGTTTTGATTTTAACCAGCCCTGCATAATTAAACTGATATTCGCGCAAGCAATCAGGTCATTGAGCGTAGCTTAATGATGTGACACAAAAATTATGACAATGAAAAGTGAAACGAACACAGACGCAACTCTGAGCAGCTGTTGAATCACATCAGTGAATCTACGTATATGGGGCGGTGCACGTACTACTTGCGGGTGATACTGAGCAGGCATGCTATCTTTAGCGAGAGATGTGCGATGTTGGAGAACTTGTCGAAATTTGTTTAGCCCTGTGTGGTGGCATGCCTCATAATCGCTGGCATGTAAGACTCCGCCAATTAGTGTTGAGGCTCTCTGATGCTAGTAAACTTCCATTTACAGCTTCAGTGCTTTCGGCAGAAGTGGTACATAACATGGAAGATAGGCACGAAAGTTTGCAGGATCCGTTACGTTGTATTATTGCTCACATTTACGAAGCTAGCTCTTGATGTAGAGAATGTGTGCACATGTCTCAACTTCACCTACTTTTAACCAGTCTGACAACAGTGCACTACTTATGGAAATACTACAACAGCATTTATCTCACTCTCCTAATTATTTGTTTTGTGTGTTTTTGTAATGATGCATTCCATGCAGAAACCATATTGGGTCTCTAAAGTGTTTGGACAGTGATCACAAAGGCTCTGTATTTGGGGCTGCATAGATCTTCAATTAAGGTTTTATATTATTTGTGAGAAAATAGTCCACCTTGGGCAGCGGTTATGGTGCGCGGCTGCTGACCCAGAAGTCACAGGCTCGATCCTGGCTGCGGCAGTCTACTAATTTCGATGGAGGCAAAATAGTAGGGGCTTGTGTCGATGCGATTTCAATGCACGTTGAATACCACGAGATGGTTGAAATTTCTGGAGCCCTCCACTACAGCGTTGCTCATAGTCATATCATTGCTTTGGAGCATCAAACCCCAGCTATTGTTATTCTTATTAGTGAGAATAAAGGAAAGCTGGACATATTCAATGTATGCAACTATTAGCGTTTTCAACACGGGAAAATGGTTCCTGTTTGCACTAGTAAGTCCACGTCCTATGCCCTTGTATTTAAGCTTGAAACAGTGAAGTGAATGAGTGCTAGTCCTTATTACGAGCTCAGTAGTTAAGATAAAGGGTTTTTTTGTGTAAGTCATAGCCAAAGCATATTTCTATGTAAACACCTACACTACATGGAGAGCTGCTTAACAAAGAGTATTATAGAATTAAATCAATGTTCCTGAATGAAATACTTGTGGGGCAGTAGCATTTTAGATCGTTCTTATCACATAATTGAAAATAAAATGTGTTCAGGTTCAGGGCTTTTAATTTTGCTTTGGTTCAGCTCCTATTTAAAGAAACATATGTATTAAGCAGTTGATGAACTCATTTGCAATACTCAGTCAGTTTACATGCTGGTTGAGCACAGTAAAACCTTCCGCATGTCAAGGTTCCTTCTTTTTCATAAAGCATACTGTTAATTTTATGTGGCAGCAGCTGCTACTTGGTGTCCAATCTAAACAACATTAAAATCTCACTGCAAAAAGCTTCTATTTTGCTTTGGATTATGGCAGCATTGTCTGAGGTGAAAAAAATTTGTGAAAAAAGACTGGCATGGTGCACTGTGCCAACATAGCTTTATTGCTCCATACAGTTGAGTACGTACTTGCTGTAGAGCAGTGGCCTCAATCTCACCTTGACTGGCGGGTTGCACTCATGAAATTTGGCCCCACAAAGTTTAGGGCAGTGAAGGAGGCTGAACCGTGGGGGGGTGGGGGAAGGGGGTGTAGAGAGGACAGCATTAACGAAATGTCACCCAAGGCTGCCATTTGAAAGAATGCATTTCCCATATCTCATGTATAGATACTTTCCTAATGGGAGGTGCAATTCGAAAAAAAAAAAAAAGAGGTTGTGCTTATTTGTAGCAAGCGGTGATGAAATTTTCACTGTACACAGGCTTTTATGCTGATTTTAAATATGCAATTAGTTTTATTATAAGTTGCACAGTTTTTGTTTTGTGCATTGACAGTAGTTCATATTGGACAATCTTTTTAAGCCACTAAATTTTATGGTTCTGAGCCATTAAGGGCTCATAGTGCTCCACGTTAAATGTAAAATATAAATAACTATCAATAAGTGTGTATAAGACATTTTAAAGGACAAGAAAAATTGTTATGTGAGAATTGTTAGAATCCTCAGCCCATGCTAAATACTTTTTAGGTTCATAATAATTATACAGGTGATATCAAGTTATACAGGTGATATCAAGTCAGGGTTCGAGAAACGTATTGATACTGAGTTCAGGACAATTAAAATCTGGATGTTGATTTTCAAGTATAGGTATTTGATACTGTGTTTATAATTCAATGCATGGTAACTGTATAGTGTGCTTCATTAAACAAAATTTCGAGACCAGTCCTGTCTCTACAGCATGCGTGAACATAGTGTTAATAATTGCAATGACAAAGTGAGCGATGGGAGAACCATTTTGTAGTGTAGCAAACATTTCGTTCCTTGTGAAGCGAAAGGTTTGTGTGTGAGATGCCTGGCTTACAGTGACCTTCTGCGGTGTCGCGTATTCTTTTTCTGGCCGCATTGCTGCATTCCAGTAAGGCCACTCTGCGAAAAATGGTAATGTTTTGTGCCTTCATTGTGCACAAAGCAGTCCATGACAACAAAGTTATTTCTCGAGTACTCCGCTACAGTGTTTCTCATGATGATGTGTGACCATTCAATTACCAGTCTCTAGCCAGTAAGCCTGGTCAATAAAGCCGAAGTAGAAGCTTTCCAGTATTTACGTACACATAAACATCACCTGTTTGCCAGTGCTTTGGAGAGACACTTGTCAGCCCTTACGCCATGCTGCACTGATAGCAGCCTGTGACCGCAATTTTAGGGGAAAAGAAAAGTCGGTAACCTAGAGAAGAATCTGGTTTATTGACTCGATCCCAGTTTTTGAGACTTGTATACTCACAAGTTTATCCATTGTCGTCAGTACATGAAATGGTATTGTAGGTGCCGTTCATCTGTTGCTGATATTATCAAACCTCGAGGTGTGCTGTAGTTACTCAAAAGCATTTGGTTTGCACACTAGTGAGAGTACCTACAACTTCAATCCCACCATCATACAAAATAACTACTTTTTCACCAAGTCTGGTTGCAACATCAACCGAAGGGTCACTAAGACTAGGAAAGGGAGCTGCAGTGTTCTACTTTGTTTCTAGATGATGGCGCACGCCATATATCTTCGATCATGTGTGTTCTGAAACTCCTCGTAGGCCCCATGTACTAAAATAAAAACTTGCCATTAGTCAAAACCGAAGGAGTCTGCTGCTTGTCATGTCAGCTGTTGACCATAAGACAAGCCAATGTTAGCGCTTCCGATGAGCACATGCAGAGATGGTGCCGCGGTAATCTGGTGTTTTGTATTTCTGCTCCCAGATGGCGCAACATTGTGCAGGCCTCCGCAGAATTATCCTATTAGCATATCTGGGCTTTGGAACACACTTTTATAACTCATACGAATAAAAAAAGCTCTTGAGCCAATCTTAGTCCAATTTTTTTTATGTTAAAATTAGAAACTGCAAACTGACTCTACAATTTGGGGACAGATTCGGTTCCTTCTTCAGGGGTGACTATTTGGCTGGCTCCAAAGCTAGAGACTTTTCTTAGTGGTGCCCCCCTCTTCAACGTCCTTCTAGCCGCACAAGAGGGCAGTTCTCAAAATCCTGGCATATCCAAACAAGACCAGGAAACATTAACCGCTCACAACTGGAACATCACCGAATGTGTACGTGCGCGGTCTGCGGAACCAGTCGAAGAAACACGGCAGCAACAAGTACGGCGGGAAGAATCTCTTACAAGTAAACCGGTCCTTACGAATAAACCTCCGTGATGTGGTTCATAGGAGAGATTTATTCATAAGAGCTGGACGGCGAGTGTTCGTCAGTAGTGCACGTCATTCTTCTCTCTGCTTTGCTGTTGTTGCTGCTACTAGTTGGCAATGGAATAGACTCACTGTAACAATATTACAGTTTATATATGAGGTATGTTGCAAAAGTAATGAGACTGAGTTTGTAGTAGCCAAAGCCTTCAATTTTTTGAAACAGCAATGTCATCCTCTTCAGTGTAGTTCCCTAGGGCAGATACACACCAGCACAGTTGTTGTTACCCTTTATTGTAGCAGTGCTGGAAGTCAACTGATATGGCATTTAACAGGTCAGTCACATTATCTTGACTGCTCTCCAGAGTTCCAAAAGGGAGTCCTTTTGGACATGTTTCACTTTCAAGAAAATGAAAAGGTCGCGAGGACTCAAATCAGGTTATTCGGGGGTTGAAGAACAGCAGTAAAGCGTTTTGAGGTAAAAAATTCACGAATGGAAAAAGCTGAATGACACGGTGCATTGCCATAATGTAAGCATCCACTTGTCTGCAATGTGTCTGAGCAAGGTTAGTCTTCAGCATTTTCTAGGCCTTCTAATGGTGACTTGTGCCAGCGAAGAATTTGTATTCTTGATTAACAATATTGCCGCGAACCATGCATTGGGTTTGTTTATTTGTGTTTCGTTTTTTCGGCCTGGCTGCGCCGGCCTGTGCTATCACTGTTTTCACAGCGTTTCGAACAAACGCTATCACAGCGTTTCGAACAAACGCTATCGAACAGCGCTTCGAGCGTTCCGAGCGAACAGCGTTTCGAACAAACGCTATCACGGCATTCTCGATACAATTCGACTATTCGAGAAACCCTCGCGCCGAGGGATATAAATTCCCGCACAGCCGATGCCGCGACATTCGATCGCCGACGCTCACTAGCGTGCCCGTCGTTTTGCCGGCCATTGCTTCGCCGCCTGTGTATTCTTTCAGTTGTTTGGGGAGCACAGGTTCGCTCCAATAAACTTGTTTTCCTTATAGACAACTGCGTCGTCCTTTGCTGCGTGACAATATTTTCTATATGCTTTTAAAACTTTTGAAAAGTCATACTAGTGGATTCATAAGTATAACGCAAGAAAAATGAGGAGGCTGTTGGGCTTTGCCTTCAAGAGTGGAATGTGATAGCGATATCGTGTCCCTAGTGTCGTGTTCCTATTGCGTACTTAAAACACTTAGTGCATGGTAACTTTGCGAACTTCCTATGCACCCACTATGTGGCCTTGAGTTAATAGGCACAATAACGTGTGGCCCTTTTGTAGCGGATGACAGGCTTTAAACTATGAAGTCATTATGTTAATCACATGTTCTGACACCGGATCGCAATGTACGCTTGTGCCACACATTATTACTTCAATATTTCACGTTGCATTGTGAAGCATGTATACATGAAACACTTGGACGCAAGTAATGCAAATGAGTTTTACGGAGACCAGACAAAGGTGGCAGAAGGGTTAAGAAAGGGAAAATTGTGTCTATGTGCTTTGAGATGTCGATGAATTCGCCCTTGCGCTGCTAGTTGCTAATTTATAGTTAGCTCAAATGATAGAGCGACTGCCTCGAAAAGGCATTGGTTCAGGGTTCGACCTGTGGCCAGGACGAATTTTTCGACGACTAAGAAGCTTTTCTTTCGGAGAAATTCGTATAGTTTTCTTTGTGGGGCTTCTTGCCACAAATGGGTGGTTGTCTATTTTTCCTTTCTTCTCCACACCAGTTTACGTAAAACATTTGCACATGTTTATTTTGAGAGACAGCTGCTGCTCTTCCTTGCACTCTGGCTTTAATAAAGTGGGGAACTCAGTTGGCAACAAAGAAAGAAAAGCGTTTGTGAAGAATCTTGCTTGCTTTGAGGTATTTTCCCCACTATTGTAATATTCTAGAAGGTTTTCATTGCTTCTGCCATGACCACCTGCCCGCTTTGGCCACGCTGGCTTCAGTATGAATGTGCCTTTAATGTAACGAAGTTAAAGGGGTACTAACACAAAATTTTGAGGCCGAGATAACCTGCGGAGTCAATTCTCGTGAACATTCGTATACATATCATCTGTAAAGTATTAACAGTGAAAACAGCTTGAAAGGAATTTGAAATAATTTTGAAGTTCGTGTGAGCCATCGATTCTGTCGTGGCATTGACACCCTCGAAGAGGACCTTTTGGGGACTCCCTACTTCTCTCACGTTACCATGCTGCAGTTGATAAAACAAGTTATGACGACGTCATAGCCGTCATTTTTTCTTTTCCCGCGTTTTTTCTGCAGTCTATACTTCTTGGCGGCTGGTCATGAGTGCTTGGCCAGGGCACACGCCTTGAAAGTTTTGCGTTTGGCGAACTCTGCAGTCTCACTTCCTATTCGAAAGTGATTCTTGATGCGGATTGTGTGGATGTGTGTCACAGTTCTGTGTGCTGACGTGGTTGAAAGCTGCACACACTAGGTGGCGATAGTTGCACTTGGCGGCTTCTTGTTTTTGGAGCTCTTTCAAACCAAAACTGGTTGATAATAAGGGGCCTGCAATTAATTATCTGTCACGTGCCACAGCAAACGATGTGTCGTGTTATATCTAACAGGGTTCCCATCAACACAATGCAGCAGAAGAACGAGAGGCCAAAGTTTTTGTGTCAGTACCCCTTTAACAAAAACAGACTTAGTTGTTCTATGTTGCAAAACAATGTTAAAGTGCTAAGGAATTAGAGTACTCTAACTTCACTGTGCAGATGCGTTGTTTAACTGCATTTTCACAACTAGCATTTATGAAATTCCATCACGACAGAACACAATTGCCATTCTCAATCATAAAAACTCTTTCTGCACCTGATTTTAAGCTATATGTAAGGTTGTCTTACTGTTTTGACAAGGTACTGCTTATAGAAACAAGTCTTAGTTATGGGGAAGGGTGGGGGGGGATGGAAGGACAAGTGGCTCAAATTTTTATCTCGACTTCCTGCATTTTATAGCTTGCAGCATAGGCATTGACCTCGGCATGCATTAGTGTTGTGACGCAGGAAATTCGAAACATTCTCAGTGATTCCAGTGCTCACTGAGAAGCTGCAAGGGGTCAAAAATTTAATCAAGAGCCCCTCATGACTGGTGTGTGTGGAATTTTTGAATAAGTAAAGCCCATCTCTCTCGTTTCTAGCCACTGGATGGTGATGGGAGCCTTCCTCCTGTCGATGGCACTCCTCCTGGCCCTGATGGTGAAGAGGCGGGAGACGCCCACAAACTACTTTCTCCTGATGGGCTTTGTGAGTTTCGTCTCATGTACTGTGCTTCCTTCGTGCTCTCCAGTAGTATCATAACTAGAATGCGGTCAGTATTCCGGAAAAGATTATATCGGAAGAGCTACACGACTGGGCATTGCGCAGTAATTTAATCTATCTGGAATGTAGTTGAACCCTTGTGCTCTGAAACATTTACCCACCTGTTGTCCATTCTGGTCTGAAACCAACAGAATCGGAGCTCAAGTAATAGTAGTCATACTTACTCATTTGAAGATGATACACAAGGCAAAAAAGGCGCATGTGAATCAACCACGAGAGAACAGGTTTAGCAGCCCCGACTGCGAGTTGCTGTGGTAGTGCTGCATTGTTGTGAGAGGCCCGACAACAGACCACAAAGGTTTTTTTAATGCAGTAATAAATAACACTGGTTTAATATATGATGAAAAATTAACGGTAGTGTTTTTAAAAATGGTCTGGCAGGGTTACAGGCACAATTTTATGTATAGGAGATACTGCACGGAGTCTGTAATTTAGCAGTTTCTACAATTTATGAATCCGGCAGAATCTTGAATGCTAGTAGTATGGCCTTCCACTTACTGATCGCTTGTGGCAGCACAGTTGTATTGAAGGCTTGGGTGCAAGCATTAAGGCAGTTAAGGCTGTATTGATTATGTTACTGGCTTGATGCACATTGAAATTGTGGCTGTGGCAAACTATTTCCATGCATGCTGTCAATTATTTTGTGAAATAAACACACAGAGGCTATTATGTGATTTCAAAGATAGGTGGTGAAAGCAGAATTGGTGACTCCAGAACAAGTAGAACTCCCTGATGCACACCTTAATTTGACAAGTTTGTAATTTTGCACACTTAAACTGAATTAAGAATAATGTTTATTTTCAGTGCGCATGTCACAAAGTGGCAATCAAAGAAAGGTTGCAAGCGGAAACTCTATCTGAGGTGAAAATTTCCATGTCGGCCTTCAGATAGGAAGTGGCAGGGGAAAGAAGGAGGGGAGCCGCATATTACTGCCATGTAGATTTCCGACCCCCGCTTTAGAATATCATGTATAGCACTGCATCTGGTGTTCCTTAGGAAACTGCCAAATGCACAGTTAATAATAGAGTGCACCTTACAGTGATGATAATTATTTTTTCAGGGAAAAGTTAAAAACAGTAAGAGATGTACAGGCCCTATTTTAGAGCGTGTGTGTCACTATGCATTATAGCTGTTGCATTAACACTTTATCATTACTTAGAAGATTAATAGAATCATACCTATAGTAATTGATATGCTTTGAGTCACACAGTGGCATAGTACTTGCACTTTACAGTTTTGAAGATTCTAATTTTGATGCACTTTTCGTCTGCAAATATCCTTAATTTAAAAATGCTGCATGTTTGCTTTTGTCTTTTCAGACCATTGTGCAAGCTTTCACTGTTGCTGTTGTTGGTAAGTGTTAAGAGATTCACGGTTGCTGATTTCGAGAAATTGCTGTTGGCTTATATTTAATAAAAAAAAAGTAATTAAATGTTCATATGTCATGAAAAAATCACAGCGTATCCACAGAGTGCATGATGATGAGTGGGGCGAAGCATTCGTCAGTCCGTCCACGCTTTCGTCCGTCCCTGCGTTTTCTCCATGCGTCTGTCCAAGTGTCCATTTGTCCATGCATCCGTCTGTACATTTGTTCGTTCGCCCTTCTGTCTGTCTGTCCGTTTGTCTGTCCATCTAGTGAACACTCCAAGTACTAGCCATCTCTCATCTTTTCGTCGTATATTCATCATATAGAAGTACCGCCATACAGCGAACATTTCAAGGACTAATAGAAAGGTGGCACGGCCAGATTATACGAGTGGCACGCGGGCACTCTCTTACAGCATGCGCTTTGTGTCTAGTTCCCAGTTTTCACCGCTGCTAGTTCATGGCACTGCGGCCCAACCCATGCTAAACCTTGCTAAAACAAAGGACGTTACGCCCAGCGACTTTAACGTGGCAACCTTTTCTCGTCAGATAGTGCTCAAAGTGCATCCTTCTGTTGCTAGTTTTTTAGTAAGCATCAAATTCAAGGCAAATATTATTGGAGATGAAGTCATCGTAACTAGTCTCTGTAGCTTATTTCGTCAGAAACAACTATCTTTTTATTTATAATTAACATGCACGGGTTTCCTCCTCAATTCAATAGAGTGCGCGTGAACCGCTCCTCTCGTCCAGCCATGGACGTGGCTACCTACTACTACTACTACTACTACTACTACTACTACTACTACTACTACTACTACTACTACAACATACATCGCGGACACACGACCCTGGCTTAAGGAGCTTTGCTCCTAAAAACTCTCATCTTAGGATTCACTTGTGAGTTTTAAATCATTTTCCTGACAAGAAAACCTTGGAAAACTTGCCTGTTGTGTTTGATAACGAAATAATGCAGACATTGCAGAGGTACCATCGATCATGACAGAAATCTGTGATTTAATTCCCAAAACACATTTCGGTCCCTTCCATATCTTGTGCACGTGAGCCCAGCGTGGCTGGAGTACAATTCAAATTTCACCCTGGGACACCTTTGTATGACTGCCTAAACACCCAGGTAGCTTCCTTACAATGATGAAAGCCGATTATTATTTGTCTGCATGCAGCGTAGAACAACTTCAAAAAGTGCGAGATGCAGTAGTTGTGTAAGGCTCATCTTTATTGCTGCTCAGCTTAAAATATATTCAATTTTGCCGAGGTAAAGCTTTCTTGGAATGGGGTCACTATGAATGTACAGCAGTGAGCACTGTTACGGTGAATGTGGCTCAGCGTGGCAGCACTCTGCGGAGCACCAGTGTAGCCGGCGCGGCAGCACATGTAATTGAAGTCGCGCAGGTGCACACGAGAGTGCCTCTCTGGCTACAGACTACAGACAAGCGAGGCCGGCGCTTGACTACTACGAAATGGGGCGCTCAAGCGATGTAGCCGACGACATAAATTAGCTCCCGTGTGTCCATGTGCGCATGCGTCGCTACGCTTTGATGCGTGCCCTGCGCCAGCACACTGGTGCTGCACGGAGCACGGCCATGCGCTCGCAGTGTTCACCCTAACAGTTCTCACCGCTGTACAGTGGTAAACTCTAGTGTCTAGAGCGATGGAGCATCGCGCTTGCAACGACATAAGTGATAGCTACAGTCATAAATGCATCACTTTTGAGAATGCGCAGCACCATCGACGTTCCTTTCATTGCATTTATTATCCTTGGTTATCACCTCCGATGCAACAACAGCTTCGTCTGTTTAACTCTTTCGTTAGCTCACTAAAATGGTTGTTTTTCCTAAGTATCGAGAAGATCATTTTTTCTAATTTGAAAAGTACTCCAGCACGCATTGTAGCATACCATACATTGCACAATGAAATGCTCTTTTTAAGCAATATATGTTGTAGAGCAGCAAAAATATTTTAGGATGAATAAAAATGTGAAAAGTGTAGAATTCGTGGTTGCCAGCTGGTAAACAGTTCAATAAAAACACTATATGTGTAAAAATATTCAAAACAAAGACAATTCGTAAACAGTTCAATAAAAACACTATATGTGTAAAAATATTCAGAACAAAAAAAATTCAGAATATACATTTTGTAGATAAATAGCCCAGGAAAAGTATAAAAGATGATAAATGTTGTACAAAATATTTCTCTTCGTATAGACAAAAAAAAAAAAATCAGAACCCGGGTGCTGCTTCGTTGCTCGCGCTATGTGGTGAAGCATTGCATGGTTTTTCGTGCAACACAATTGTACTCGCACACTTTTCTCAGTAAACTTTTGTTGTCTTACTACGAGAGTCTCCAAGGTGTGCCAATATAGATTGTGTGAATAATCCCTCTATAAATGAGATGTCCAGTCAACCTTGCCATTTCATGTAGCGTCACCTCTTTCCATGAACCACCTTACTCCGCATAGGTTGGCATCCCAATGTATACATCCAAGCATACTGTTTTTGGATATTTGCGCATGTCGTAATAAAAAAAGACAAAGTCGCGCGCAGTTCTAAAAGTTTTCGCACTGCTCTTTAGTTATGGCAAATATGTGCTCCGGGGTCCTTTCTTGCCAATAGGAGAGAACCTCTGCAGCCAACGCCAACACACCGTGCTCCTGCGAAGTGCGGACCACGCACGTAACAGAATAGCTATAAAATTGTGCACAAAGGTCAGAAACTCTATGCACTTGTCGTGGTGGCGGCTACTTGAGGATGTAAACAAAACAAACCCATGAACGCGTGCGGATGTGTCAGGCTGACACAAAACATTGTGGCAATAAAACTTGAAGCTGAGGTGCTGTCATCTTCGTCCTTATTCAATTCAGGTGGGGTTGGAAAACAATTTCAAGTAACGCATGTGTTTTGCAGCGCTGGTGCGCACCCATGCGTGCGTGACGACGTCATAGGAGTGACTATTGACACTTTATGCAAACCTGTGTTTAATATAACAATGCAAGCAAAATTAAAACATCTGAAAACTGTCAGAGAAGGTCACCTCGACACTTAAAACACAAGGCAGACCTTCTTAACTATTTTTTGTAGAACAAATTTTTCCCGACTCCTAAGAATAGCTCTCTGTTGTATAGCTGGCATGAATTTCGGGCAATTGTTGCTGCTCAAGACAGTCAAATTGCGAAGCTGACACTTTATTCCGATGTGTGGCTTGCTAAGGTTCTTTTCATTACAGAACTTCAATGTTACTGTAGTATATTCACGAGGGGCACACACTTCTGTCAAGTTCGCTAGCCTAGTGTACTTTACCAACAATACGCCCACATGGATTCCCGCAAAGGTCTGTCAAAAATCACCATGTTGCCGAAAACGGGCAAATTCAAATTTATTCTGAAAGTGGAGTGGCTGGACTATCTGCTAGAAAGTGTTGTGTGCACGAGAAACAAATTTATGAAGCCATAATCGATGATGCAGAATCGTTGATCACCGGTGAACGATTCGAATAGGAGTGGTAACGAAAAAGTGAAAGCATTGGAACGTTTTAGAGCAAAAAAAAAAAAAAAAGAAGAAGAAGAAAGAAACAAGCTGGTCTTGGTATGAAATGGCACCTCGAACTGAGTAGTAGTTCATAGCATAAAAGGTGCCAGTTGGGCCGATTGCACTATTTTGTTTCGGTGCTATACAGTTAGTGCTTCTGAGGACCAAAGCAGTTAACATTATCAAGGCCATAAACAAGGACGGAAACTGCCAGACAGGTGCATCATTTCATTGGCACTGCACACGCCAATGACATGTAGCTCATTTTGGGCTCGAGATGTCATTCATCCTTTTCTAAACATGGCGCTCCATCGTTCCAGACATTTGCACATATATGAATCTGCACATATATGTGAATGTAGGACACAAGATCAGTGAATTGAGATGCAGTGAGTGCGAATATTTTAGTTTTTTTTTCCCCAAACTCATTGGCTATCTTATACTTCACCAGCGTTAAAGGAGCGCTGACATGAAATTTAGTAATGTCAAGATTTTCACGTCAATGAGTAGCTATTGACTCCCGGGGATTTGCGACCTAGAACACAAAAGAGGTATGAATAACTATCACTTTTATTGATTTATATCATTAGTCGTCTCCCATTTAAAATGGCCGGCAAGCCCATCCTTTTTAGTGCAAGGAGGGCTTTCTCGCGGTCACCTCCATATTGCTCCACAGCTAACCACTTCTCCACAGAAAAGAGTGACATGAGGCTCAGCTGCTCCGCAAAAATTTCGTTCGCTTGGCGCACATTCAGTTATGCCCGGTTACCTACATTGCCGCTGTAGCCGTACAGTGTCGACTAGGCTTGAATATGACACTGTGGAGCTTGGAATCGCCACAATTCGCCACATCGTGAATCATTCTGCTTCAATGAACTGTTTGCAGGACAGCGATTCCAGAATGGTTGCCGTTCTAAGCAGCAATGAGGAGGTGCCCAAGAACACTTGCTTCGGCCATGCTCGCTCGTGTGTCTCAATTACCTATACAGTCAACTGCCGATTTTTCGGACATGCCCGATAATTCGGACATCTTCGTGGCACCGCCACGAGCCCCATAGAATCAATGTATAAGAAAGTCTGAAATTTTGGACGCTCGAACCCCCCAGAGTCCAATTTTCCAGACTTTTTGACGCGACGGAAGGTCGGAAACCACCTATGACCTCCAGTGGAAACCACCACAACGGCATCACACACGATTACGATCGCATAAATGAGCGCGCCGGTCTACTGTGGCGGCATCTGTTGCTTGGACTCGTTGATCGTTAGCGGAGAAACACACACGGCCTTCGAGATTCCTAACACTGGCTGCGTTTATCGTGCAAAGGTGCTTCGCTGATAATCGAAACTATCCACCCGGAAATTTTTTGGCGCCAATAAAGGTCCTTTCGCTTTAGCGCTTGTGCTCGTGCGTGCCACTCTGGCTTCCCGCGCAGCGCTTTCACGAAG